GAACAGGGAGAGGGGCAGCCCAAGCCCCGCAAACCTGCCTATTCTAAATGGGTTCTGCCATCCGCCGCATCAACACAAAACATAGGAGACTTTAATGGGAAGGAACTTTAATAAAACTAGGAAACAACACAGGAAAGGCAAAGAGTCTAGTTTCTAAGTGAAGCACCCAAAGTGACCCGCCCCCTCGTGGGTAAAAGTCCATCCATATGGGAATGGCGCAGAGCAAGGCCCCAAAGCCTGCCACAAGTCTAAAGCATCTTCCAGTGGGGACCCACAGAAAAGGGTCAGAAACAACCAGACAAGCCCAGAAGGAAAAGAGCAAAATCAACATCAAGATAAAAGCTGCCATGGTCCCCTCCCCACGGGTCTCACCCACATCTGTGTCACCCCGTCTGTTAGGGGGAAAAGGCCTTTTGCCTTTTCCCCCTAACAAGTCCACGACCAAAAGACAAGCAGTTTCTTCACGTGTCTCTAGGCTCCATGCGCCTCCTCCAGGTCTCCTGGCTCCATCCTGCTTCCTTCCTCAGTTTCTTCTTCAGCTTCTCCTCTTCCTGCTCAGCTCCATCCTCCCTTGGGTGGGGCAGGGAACCTCCCCCTTTCCTGGGGACCACCCTGTTACAACTATGCCCTTTTCTTTCTGACTGGACCAGTGTTCCGAGTGCGGCGGTTTAACTGCGTTCTGCCTCTTTTCTCTGAAAAAAGTGCCCAGCTCGGGGCCTCCCTGGTGGCGAAAGGGGTTAAGACACAACCAACGAAGCTGTCCGCAGCCTCTGCAGCACGAGTTTGATCCCCGGCCAGGGAGCAGCCACCAGGCGCAGCAGACCTCTCCTGCCTCCCTGCTGCTCCCCTCGGCAGTGGATTTCAGTCAGTCTGCCTGTTCTGTTCCCCTCCCTGTCTCTGGTGAATCCTCTCACCCCCTCCCCCCAAGCCTCTGGCCTGTACCCCAGTTCTTGTATGCATAAATAAATCTTAATAAAAAAAAAAGTGCCCAGCTCCCCAGGGCCCTTGCAGATGGCATCAGGCCATCCTGCAGATGGCACCTCTCTGGGTTTTAAAATCTGCTCCCGTGGTGTTCCCCACTCCCCATCTCCTCACTCCCCCTACCCCGCCTGGAACTAATGACTTCTCTCAGGCAGGTCAGAGCTGGGCCTGGAGGTCTGCATTCAAAGGCTGCCCATCTGGGAGCCTTTTCTTCCCAATCTGTTTTCGTTCCCGAGTTCTTAGCTCAGTGACAGCCTCTGACATTCACCCGGTTATCACAGCTGAAACCCAGCCTTTCTCCCAGACTCCTCTCTGCCCACATTCAATTTTGTGGATTTACCTCATGAATTTAAGATTTATTTTATTTATTTATGCATACAAGAGCTGGGGTGCAGGCCAGAGGTGGGGGGGAGGTGAGAGACAGAGTGGGGAGCAGAGCTGGAGGATCTGCTGAGATACATTGCTGAGGGGAGCAGCATGGGAGTCAGGAGAGGTCTGCTGCACCATGCGGGCAGCTCCTTGGCCTGGGATCAAACTCAGCGCCCCAGTGGCTGCTGACTGCAGAAACTTAACCCCTTGTGCGCCAGGGAGGCCCTCTCATGAATATTTCTAATACCTGTTTTGTCCTTCCCCCTCCCATCGCAAGCCCCAGCCCAGTCTTCCTGCAGCGCTCTCCTTGCCCATTGACACAGTGTTCTCACCCACCTCGGGGCTGTTTCCCCAGCCCGTGGTCCATCCCACACTGGGGAGCCTGAATAATCTCTTTTTAATGTCTATTTTAAAATGCTACTTTTGGGGCCTCCCCGGTGGCGCAGCGGTTGAACGCTGGGTTGCAAAGCTGCCCGCAGCCTCAGCAGCACCGGTTCAATCCCCGGCCACCGGAGGAGGGTCCCACATGGCGCGCAGACCTCTCCTGCCGCCCGCTGCTCCCCTCAGCAGTGTACTTCGGTCCTTCTGCCTGCTCTGCTCCCCGCTCTGGCTCTGGTGAATTCTCTCACCCTCCCGCGCTTCTGACTGTACCCAGTGCTTGTATAAATAAATAAATAAATCTTAAAATAAATAAACAGGTATCCCTCCCAGTCTTTAAAAAAAATTAAATAAAATAAAATGCTACTTTCTTGCTTTAAATCCTTACTGGCCTGTGAAAACGCTCTCCAGCCAAGTACTGAAAGCCCGTGAGACTCTGGCTTCAGACGACGTTGCGGCCGCCCGCCCTCCTACCACCGTCCCGCACACCCGCCTCCGGAAACACCGAGCGCTTCTCCCGCTGTTCCGAAAGCGGCTGGGCTCTCGGCGGCGCAGACGCCTCACCGTGTGGGTCCCACTCCCCGGAGCAGCTCTTTGTACCTGGCAAAGTCTGCATCTCTCAAGGCCCCTCTGGGTCCCGCCTCTTTTGGTAAAACTTTGGGGGGGCGCCCTCATCCAGGTGGCCCTCCCCCAAATGCTTCTAAGCTTCCCTAACGAAATCCGCGCGATTGCGACCTCTGCAAGGACACGGTTAAGATCTTAAGTTTATGTGTGCGAGGGTCTTGCACATAATAAGGGTTTCCTGAACCGGTGAACTCGCTGTCTGCTCCTTCGACGTCTGGATTCGGGATCCGGGGCGCTGGGAGCCGGGGACTCCGCCCTGGGGAGCCGGGGTAGACCCCGGAGTCTGGGATCGCGGAAGCAGCCGTCGCTCCGAGCGCAGGAAGTCGCCACCTGGGAGCGCCGCGCGCGCCCCGTCTAGAGCCGGCCGGGGCCGACCCGCTGAGCGTCCAGCGCGCGGGGCCGGGGCCGGGATCCGCGCCCCGCGCGCCCCGCGGCGCCGGCGCCCAGGCCCCGCCCCGGCCCGGCGGCCCCTCCGGATTGGCCGCCCTCGCCGCGTCACGCGGCCCGCCCCGCCCCCGCCCCGCTCGGGCGGCCGCCGCAGCCCCCGCGCGCCCGCCCAGCGCCCGCGGAGCCGGAGCCCGAGCCCGAGCTGCGCCGGGCTCGCCTGGGGGCTCCCGGCCGCGGCGGCGGCAGGCGATGCCCCAGAGGCCTGGGCCGCCATGGAGGCCGAGGCGGGCGGCCTGGAGGAGCTGACGGACGAGGAGATGGCGGCGCTGGGCAAGGAGGAGCTGGTGCGGCGCCTGCGGCGCGAGGAGGCGGCGCGCCTGGCGGCCCTGGTGCAGCGCGGCCGCCTCATGCAGGAGGTGAACCGGCAGCTGCAGGGCCACCTGGGCGAGATCCGCGAGCTCAAGCAGCTCAACCGGCGCCTGCAGGCCGAGAACCGCGAGCTGCGCGACCTCTGCTGCTTCCTGGACTCCGAGCGCCAGCGCGGGCGCCGCGCCGCGCGCCAGTGGCAGCTCTTCGGGACCCAGGCGTCCCGGGCGGTGCGCGAGGACCTGGGCGGCTGCTGGCAGAAGCTGGCCGAGCTGGAGGGCCGCCAGGAGGAGCTGCTGCGGGAGAACCTGGCGCTCAAGGAGCTCTGCCTGGCGCTGGGCGAGGAGTGGGGCCCCCGCGGCGGCCCCGGCGGCTCTGGGGGCTCCGGCGCGGGCCCGGCCCCCGAGCTCGCCCTGCCCCCGTGCGGGCCGCGCGACCTGGGCGACGGGAGCTCCAGCACCGGCAGCGTGGGCAGTCCGGATCAGCTGCCCCTGGCCTGCTCCCCGGATGACTGAGGACGCAGCTTCCCTCGCGCCGGCGCACGCCCGGACTGCTCCCCAAACGCCGGGATTCGGGGGACCTGTGGACGTGGACGCCGCCCCGGCCGCGCACCAGGAACTGCTGGCGTGGACTTAGACACCCTGGCACTGAGGGGTGGCCCTCTCCCTCGCTGGGGGGGCAGCAGGGGAACTGGAGTGGAGGGACTTACGGGGGGCTGGGTGGAGGCTAATAAACTGGGAAGGAAGCAGAGCCGGTGGCCTGGGCAGCGTCTGTTGGGGACTCGCCGGGGTTGGGCGGCAGAGGAGAGGTGGGGAGCGTTGAGAACGGGACTCCATGCCCACCCAGAGGGACGGCGGAACCACGGTGGCCATTATCTCAAGCCTGGGGGTAGGCACTGACTCCCCCACTCAGGCCCCAGGACGGGGCGCGATCTGGCCCCTGAGTGGCTCCGGCTCCCTTCCCGGCTCCGGCTGCCTTCCCGGCTCCTTCCTGTGCAAGACAATGGGGCAGGAAGCAGGTGTTGGGGGCCTCGAACCCACTTGGCCGCCTCCCTTGGGACTGGAAAGGCCTAACAGCGCCCTCCTGTGGCGCGCGCAGGAGCACCCCGCACCCCACTACCACCACCGGGAAAAGACTAATAATCTTTGCTTGCACCCCACAGCACCTCTTCCTCCTCTCAGTCCTGGAGATGAGGCAGAGCAGGTGTCGCCTCATTTGTCAGCCAAAACAGTCCAGGTCCAGAAATATCAATTTTTTTTTTTTTTTTGGTCCAAAATGTGTCCAAGATCATCAGTGAGTCTGTGGAGCTGAGCTCAGCCTAGGGCTTCTGTCTCCAAATGGTCTCCCTTTAGTCTCCAGGTCTGCGGAGGCTAGGACAGAGTTTCAGGCCTTTTATTCCATATTAGCAGGTTTGTATAAAAATACTCTCTTTAGGAAAATAAATAGCAGCTGTCCTCGCTGTGGAGGCTTGGATTCCCGGGGGCTAAAGGCTTCTCAGAGCTGGGGGCTGCAGCCAGCTCATCACAGAATGCCCTGGTTCAGTCACCTGTGCTGCTGGCAGTGGGCTGGGCGAATTAGTGTTCTAGGCTAGTAGAGAATCGCCTTCTGTCGGGGTGAGGCTGGGGGGTCACACTGGAAGAGGGTGATGAGGACTATAGGAGGGGCTGGCAGGGGGTAGGGCCCCAGAGGACCCTTAAGGAGCTACAAAGTCCTTTGGGGCTGCCAGGAGTTCTCTTGCACAAATTTTTTTTTTGTCTCTGATTTAGTGCTAACTGTGCTAGAGAGGCCAGCTCTAGAGAAACAGCTGGCAGCCTTGGTGGCCCCACGCTGGCTTCATCAGGAAGCTGAAGATGCTCGGGTCTCATCTGGAAGGATGGAGCAAGACCTGTTGGGGTTGGGAGTGGGATATGGTCCAGCCAGCTGGACCCAAGGGCCTGGAGGTATTGGCCAGGGTGGCACACTCGGGGATGGGGGCTGGGATACCTCATAAGGCGAGGAGGGTAGGGGAGCCCAGAGGGTCAGAGGACGGGTCCCCACTGCTGCTGCTACTCCTGCGATGGGCTGAGGCGCAGGGCTCAGGGGTGCTGGGGTAGGTGAAGACCAGGCTGGGGGTGAAGGGAGTCAGAGAGGGTGTGGTCATGAGCGTGGGTGTGTGCAGGGCTTCAGGTTCAAGCACAGACGCCGGGGAAAGGGAGATACAAGGCACAGGGCGGGAGGGGGGTGGCGGGCTGCTGGGGCCACTGGTGCCGCTGGCGTCATTCTCCTTGACCCCTTCTGGGATCTTGCAGATGGGGCGATGGGCTTCCAGCACCAGCTCCAGGCGTTCCTTCTGCTTCTGCAGTTCCTCAATCTCCCTCTGCAGCCCGGATTTCTCGCCCTCCAGTTTGTCAGTCTCCTGCAGAGGGTCAGGAGAGGAGTCTTGGAGATGAAGGCCAACACCGCCTGCCTCCCGCGGTGATGGTGATTTGCGGGGAGGAGGGGTTGGATTGGAGTGTCTCCAGAAAGTCTGGCCTACAACTCCCATGAGCCCGTGGAAGTAAATGGGCATGATTCCCATCAGGCTCGGGGGCATCTTGGACCAGATTGGCAATTGAAGCTAATGTGCTGCTCTGCTCCAAGCAACACACTCTGCACTAACTTCCAATCGCTTTGTCAGGTCCTTTCTCAGAATGCCTGGGGGAGCTGGAGGAGGGCACTTAATCTACCCCCGGCGCCCACCCCCCGCCTGGATCCAGCGCCTTCAAAGCCTCTGGGGTTTGGTGGCCAGGAGTCCGGGCACCCTCGGCACAGGCCGGTGCTCACCGCCTGCAGGAAGTCAGTCAGTTCCTTCCTTCTGTTCCTGCACTTGGCCGCGGCCAGCTTGTTCCGCTCGCGCCTTACTCGACGGCGCTCCTCCTCCTCGGGGCTGATCTGGGGGGTAGAAGGAGCAGCAAGGTTGCCCACTTGCCTCCCGTGCTGGCCCCGTGGAGGGCCCTGGAGGAAGGCGCGGTGGGGCCCCGCACTGACTTGGTCAGCTTGAATAGGTCCAGTTTCCTCCTCGAATGCAACTTTTGGTGCCTGATTCCTGTCTGGGAATGCCGTCCACAAACCTCAACCACCCTCGCTTCCCAGGACTCAACTAAGATGTCCCCGCTTTGGGAAGCCTCTCTCCATTCCCAGAAACTCCAAGGGGCCTTCCCCCTAGACCCCTGGACCAGGTTGCGCTTTTTCCAAGGACCCTCATTTTTTCCCATCTCTTGATAACCAAGGGGCTGTCAGCGCTAGGAGGGGCAAATGAGTGCTGCTAGGGACTTCTTAATGAGCAGGAACCTCCTACCTGCCAGCTGAGTGCTTGACAGAGATTCTCAATCCAGCTTTCCGAGTTAGGAGCTGAAGTGCAGGGAGTATGTATAACTTACTTATGGCCCCAGAGTGGGCAAGAAATCTGTGCCGTCTATTAAACACTGAGTGACAGCCAGCTGATGGGACCGCCCCCCAAAAGGCTCCCATTCACAGCTCACAGTCCCAGTCTACGAGGACCCAGGAGCAGAAGGCCACCCTCAAGACGGGGCTGAAGGAAGGCAGTCCAGGAGTCTGCTTCTGGGGCTCACACACAGTCCCCTTCTCTAGCTGGGCCAAAGGCCAGCCAATCTGTTTCTGGAAAAGCTGCCCATAGCCTGTCACCCATTGTCCCTGGAGGCACCCTGTATCTCGCTGCCAGAGTAAGTTCTCTAGAGGCACAAATCTCACCCTGCTATGGTCTCCTATACCAAGACATCCCAGGGAAAGGGAAGAGGAGTCACCCCTTAAAGGCCCCCTCTCTCTCTATTTATTTTGGGAAGGACTTGATTGGCTGTGGGAGGCAGGAAGAGATGTCCAGCTCACTCTGCTTCGAGTCATCTGTTAACTCCTGGTGAGAGTATGTGGCTTGGAAGTTAGGGTCTGGCTTGAGAATTGGACACACCTGTCTCATTACTCACTACTTGTGTGATCTTGGGCAAGTGACCTTTTGTCTCTGTGCCTTCGTTTCCTTCACTGTCAAATGGAGAAAACCACGGTACAAGCCCCCAGTGTCTTTTTTTTTTTTTTTTTTTTTGGTGAGGATTATATTAGGGAAACTGAGACCAGACAGTAGTTGAAGGGAACCCGCTGTTCTGTCCCCAGCTGCACAGAGTATAAGCTCCCCCTCCCCAATCCACAGCGGGAGGTGGTGATCTGCAGGCCAATCCTTTCCACACGTATACCTCACACTTTCTCACCTCCACCTCCATTCATGCTCCTGCCATGCCCTCCCCCTGGAATGTCCTTTCCTTCATCTCTATTCAAGCCCTCCCTACCCTTTGAGGCTAATATGCTTTACTTCCAGGAAGCTTTCCCTGATTCAGAAGTGACCTCTGCCTTCTGGGGCGCCTGATGGGTCTCCCCTGGGGCGCTTATCACTTTCTAGTAGCCCTGCCTCCCCCTCCCAAGCCTCCTTTTGGGCAAGAGCTCACCCTCTGCTCCTCACCTGTTCACAAGGCCTCCGACGCACCCCTGGAGGAGGCCCCAGGGCCCGGATGACTCCCGGTCGGGGCTGTGGGGAGCTGTACTGGGGGTAGGCCAGAGGCCTGGGATAGCTGCTGGGTCCCAGGAAGTGAGGCTGCACCATCCACTGCAGCTCCTGGTTGCCACTCACGGCGTTGATGCTTGGGACGAGGTGGAACTTCTGGGGGATAAAAAAGGGAGAGTCAGGGATGAGGTCTGTGTGGATTGAGGGTCTTCAGGTGGACAAAAGCCTCACTGCCATCCACACTTTGGCTGCTGGTTCTAAGAGGTCAGGGAGAGCACAGTTGGGCGGAGAGACCATCCTGGTTACAATCCCTTCTCCTGAGCTGTGTGACTTTGGGCAGGCCACATAACCTCTCTGTGCTTCCATTTTCCCAGCAGAGCTACTACTTAGAAATCATGAATTTTAGGCACTGTCCCAACCACTTTATAAACACTGACTCATGTGATTTGCACAACAGCGGCTTCATTTTCAGACAGGAAAACAATTGTCCACAGACACACAGCCAGTTTGTGGGAAGGGGGTTTGGGGCCCCACGGCCAGGCTCTTGGCTGCTCCTGCACCCTGGCTGAGTGCCTTCTCCACGGAGAGACACAGCTCCTGCCTTCCAGGGTTCCAGGGTGGCTGTGAGAATCAGGTGAGAGAATTTGAGAGGCAGGAGCCCCCGGCGCAGGGGGTGTGTCCAGCAGAGGCTGGGGCCACCGCTGCAGGTTCAGGCTGAGCCAGTTCTGATATTGGCCACTTACTGGCTGTGACTCTGGGAAGGTTATTTAACCTCAACGGGCCTTCATTTCCTCATTTTTAACACGGTCCTAGGTGAGGACTACAGCATTTCGTTGCTGCTGAGAAGCACCCTTCAAGTCGTCGGGAAATCAGGTTTAATTGGCAATATTTCAGGACTTCAGCGGCGCTGCGAATGGGGGGCTTTTTCATCAGCTGAAGCTTAGATGCTGCAAACACGGTGAACGAGGTGGAAATGGCCTCCGGGTGCCTGGCCTCACTGTCTGAGCTCCAGGCATTGCGCGCCAAGGTATTCTTTCAGCAAGACGCCCAAGGGGGGTGCTGGGAAGGGGGCTCGGCGCGGAGGACAAAGGGTTCAAGCCCCGGGGCCGGCAAGCCCGGGCGAGTCCGGACAACGGTGTCCCCGGCCCCGGCTGCGGGGGCCCGGTGGCCCAGTGACCCCAGTTCCGGGCAGGGGCCCTGCCCGGGGCATCTCCCGTCGCGGGGTAGCCGACCCGGGCCCCGGGGCCAGGAAGGGAGGGGCGCGCGTGAGTCAGCCGCCGTGACTCGGCCGCCGTGACTCGGCGGAACGGACGCGGCTCCTTCCCTCCCCGGCGACACGTGCTCCAGCCCCTCGACAGGAAATGGGCACCTGCAGCCTCCGGGGTCCCCCGGGCGGCCGGCGGCGCCGCGGGGTGCGGGACCGCGCGCCCCAGTTCGGTGCTGCGCGCGCGTCCCCGCACCTCGCGGTCGCCTTTGACCCCGCTCAGCGCGGGGGCCAGGACCGTCCCCGGGACCCCTGGGGTCCGGCGCGGAGCCGGGGAGGGGCCGGGCCTGCTGCCGCGCAGAGGGCGGAGGACCGGGCTCCGGCCGCGCGTCCCGCCTCCCTGCGCTGCGGGGCCGCCGGCCCCGACCCGGGCCCCGGCCCCGGTGCGCCCAGCGCCGCCGCCCCTGCCAGGGCGGGACCAACCCGGCGCCCGGGGTCCCCTTCTGGCGCAGACGGACAAGACCTGTCTGGGGCGCAGGGGGGAGAAAGCAGGGAACAGAGACGCCGCAGACCGCGACGGCGCGGACGCGGGAGCGAGAGGGGAGCGCGAGGTGCTCGGATCTCGGGGGCGCCGCCGCGCGCGTCCCCCTGCCCGTTGGGGGTCGGGGGCGCCCCTGGACGGCGGGGCTGTGGCCGCGGCCCCCGAGCCCCGTCCCGGCCCCGAGCGTGCGGTGCGGAGCGCGCGTCCCGGGCGCCGCCCCCGGGCCCGTCGGTGTCTCACCTGCTGGCCGGCCGCGGGGGGCTGCGCGGGGCCGCCGTACGCGCCGCCCGCCCCGGAGCTCGGCCCGGGTTCCCCGAAGTCTCGGAACATGCCCTGAGCTGGCTGCTCGTGGGGTCCGCGTCGGCGGCCTGGGTTCTGACTCACCCGCTCCCCGCCGAGTCTTTCTTTTTATGAATGAAACCTCGGGCTGAACCACTCTGACGGGGAGCGGGGGGCGGGCACCTCGGGCTCCACCTCTCCGGCCGCGCCGCCTTCACCAGCTCACCCCGAACTTTTCGACCCCTCCTCCTGTCGAGACGCCTCTCCGTGGGGAAAGGGGGGGACTTGGCGTCCCCCAGCCGCCCCGGCGGGCCGGCCCCCTCTGACGCAGCTGCCCATACATGGTGCAATGGCCCCGGCGCGCCCGGGCGCAGCGGAGGATTCCCCGCGGGTTCCCGCCCCGCCCGCCCCGCGCCGCCCCGCCCCGCGCGCCAGGTGAGCCCGCCGCCCGCCCGCACCCCACTTCTGCATCGCCAACGGGGGACGAAATGCTCGCAGTGCTAGTGCCACGCGTGGGAGATGGACGTGAGGAATGTGAAAGGGTCTGGGAACCGTGCGGGGTGATGAATGTGACGACGACGACCATGACTGTTTTTAGGGGCGATTATTTCGTGCCAGGAGCCGTGCGAAGAACATCGTCCCAGGCTTGACGGCCGTGGCGGGGGGCCCGTCCGCTGCCGTCCACGGACGCTAAAACGTGAACAAATGACAAACCAGGGTCACAAAAATAATGGCATGTTTTAAATGCTGACAGCGAGCAAGGTAATGCTTTGAACTACCCACAAAACAATGCAATATAATTGTGCCACTCACAGGATAATTTCAGGAGCTAGAGCAAGTCTTGGTTCTGAGTCCCTGTAAGCAGCAAGAGGCAGAAGGGCACGCAGCTCTCCTGTCCTTTGACGAAGCTTTCCTCTTTAAATACCGTGAGGACCCTTCCCAGGCCGTGGGGTCACCAGCCTGGCCTGGAGACAGGTCTGTGTCAACGGCCTGTGTAAATGTGACACCACCGCCAAACATCCACAGCCAAAGGCCACACCCTGGGGGAGGCACCGTCTTCATCCTCATTTTACAGGTGGGGAAACTGAGGCCCAGAGAGGTTGAAATGAATAGCGTGACATCGCTACCCCAGTGGCTGAAGCTTGCTGCCGGGTCAGGGCCAGGCGAGATTTCTTTCTCAAAACCTTCAGGGATACCTTAACACACGGGCAAAAGGGCAGAACGTCAGTGAGAGGACCACCAGCGGGCGTCTGCTCCCCCTCTTCTGCAGATGAGGGAACTGAAGCCAGAGAGAGGCTGCATTGCCAGAAAGAGCTGCATGAGCTCCCTGCTTTCCTTGGATACCATTTGAGGAACTCGATTTAGTCCTCAGGACAGGAAGGTTCAGGGAGGCGGGGCCTGGGCTGCCTTCTTTGGGGACAGAGGCCAGGCAGGGCTCTGTGGGAACACTCAGGACTGAGGGTCAGGAGACCAGCTGGGCCCTGGATTTCCAGCCCCAGAGCTACCATTGGGTCTCTGTGACCCTGGACAAGTCACCGTCCTTCTGGGTCCCGGTCCCTATGGGAATAATTGGGCCTCCTGCTGACCTCATGGGGCTATTATAGGATCAAATGAGATCACAAATGTGAAAGTGCTTTGTAAGCTGTAAAGTGCTGTGCGCTTAGAAGGTGGTGACCAGCCCGGGGCCTCTCCCTCACCCTTGCTCCACTCCGTGCTTGTGCGTCTCTGAAACTGAAAAAGAAACCATAGTAGTTTACTAAGCTGAGAAATAAAGGTGTGTGTGTTTGTGTGTGTGTGTGTGTGAGAGAGAGAGAGAGAGAGAGAGAGAGAGAGAGAGAGAGAGGAGGAAGGGAGAGAGAGAGGGAGGGGGAGAGAGAGAGAGAGAGAGATTGCGATTGCGCGAGGCAGTGGTTGATGTGGCCATGGAAAACTGCTGCAGCCAGCCCACCCCAGGTTCTGGGTTTGAATTCCTGTGGGGTTGCTCACCAGCTCTGGGACCCAGGGAGCCTCACGGTCTCTCGGAGCCCGTTTCCTGCTGTGATGTGAAGACACGCTAGTAAGGACATGTCAGGTAGTTGGAGAACAGAACTAAAACAATGTCCCTCTTCAGTGCTGCACGGAGCTAGCTTGTGACAAATGGCAAAAAGAAAGACGCAGGGGGCCTCCCCGGTGGCGCAAGGGGTTAAGCACCGCACTATGAAGCTGTCCGCAGCCTCTGTAGCACGAGTTGGATCCCCCCGGCCAGAGAGCTACCCACATGGCGCAGCAGACCTCTCCTGTCTTGCCCGCTGCTCCCCTCAGCAGTGTATTTCCGTCAGTCTGCCTGTTCTGTTCCCCACTCTGTCGCTGGTGAGTCCTCTCATCCCCCGGATCTCTGGCCTGTACCCCAGCTCTTGTGTGCATAAATAAATAAATCTAAAAAAAATGCATGTTAATGAAAAGCCCTGAAGGTGGGGACCCTTGGGACTCTGATCACATGCAGAGACCCCTCCCCTTAACATGTGTGCACACACGCATGCACACGCACTGATACCTGAACTCCTTGGCTGAGCTCAGGCTGGACAGGTCAGGGTGGCACAGGTGGCCAGGTGGTGGCCCATGCAAGACCTGACACAAGTCAGTCATAGCCTTATTCCAGGAACATCACCGTGCCCCCCCCCCCCCCCGCCCACTGAGCAGCTCCACATAGCAGCTGAACACGGGCTCAGGTCTCAGTCTCTGTGTGTGTGTGTGTGTGTGTGTGTGTGTGATGACTTGACCCTGAAAGTCCCTTCCTGCTCTAACTGTCGGTGGAACCACAAGGAGGTCCTTTCAGAGGCAGCACATTCCAAGCTCCTCTGTCACTAACTCCCGCCTAGTGGCTGCAGAAACATTCCTGGCCCCTGACCTCACCAGCTCCCAGGGAGGCCAGGAGACAACCCCATGGGGCCCAGTAGACGTGGGAGCCTGAGGGCAGGGGAGGTCTGAGAGACCCTGGCACTCTCCCTTGGCACCTGTGTGAGCCTGGTGCTGTCATTCTCCCTCTCTGAGCCCTAGAGAATCCCCCCACACTTTTGGGGCTGCAGTGAGGTTAAAAGGCTGAATTAGTGTGCTTCACATCCAGTAGAAATTATGTGCCCCCAGAACTTTGGAGGTACTGTTTATGTTTTTCAGTTTCCATTCACTTTTTCAGTGGGGGTCTGTTTTTGCAATTGAAAGGAAATATGCAAGACATGCAATTAGCCTTTTCAAGCGTATCCTTCAATGGAAATTTGTGCATTCACAAGGTTGTGCAACTGTTATAGGGCAGCCCTGATATGAAACGGGGTGCCTGACTGGGGGTCCTCACCCGCCCGCTTAAAAGGACTTACTAATACTCCACTGCAGGCACACGCGAAAGGTTAATAAAAGGTTTATTTACAAGGGAAGGGCAAATGAGGAAATGTACAGCTCAGGGAGAAAAGTGGAGACAAAGTTTTAAATGAGTCCTACCCGATCCGCCGATCTGGAATCCCAAATGGTGCTCTGAGAGCTGGCCGAGGGCCAGGAGCCCTGAAGCCAGGAGGAGAGCGACAGCCAGACCCCCAAGGCCCACGTGTTTGGTTTTTATATCCAACCTGGCTGCCCAACTCCACCCTCAGGTCCCAGCCACCCTCCCTTTGGTGGTGACGGGATTTGTCTTTCCCAATGTCCTGATGGCTTTAGTCTGGAGTGGGGGTGGGGTCCACAAAGCCTGTATGGGATTAGCTCAGGACGTCCTTTCCCCCTAACACAACCACTACCTCTCTGGTTTCAAAAAAAATTTTTTTTTAAAGATTTATTTATTTATTTATACAAGCACTGGGTACAGTCAGAAGCGCGGGGGCCTCCCCGGTGGCGCAGCGGTTGAGCGCTGGGTTGCGAAGCTGCCCGCAGCCTCTGCAGCGCCGGTTCGATCCCCGGCTGCTCCCCAGCCACCAGAGGGTCCCACATGGCGCGCAGACCTCTCCTGCCGCCCGCTGCTCCCCTCAGCAGTGGACTTCGGTCCTTCTGCCTGCTCTGCTCCCCGCTCTGGCTCTAGTGAATTCTCTCACCCTCCCGCGCGCGCTTCTGACTGTACCCAGTGCTTGTATAAACAAAACAAACAAACAAATAAATAAATAAATAAACATGCCTCTATTAAAAAATAAATAAATAAATAATAATAAAAAAAAGAAGCGCGGGAGGGTGAGAGAATCCACCAGAGCCAGAGCGGGGAGCAGAGCAGGCAGAAGGACCGAAGGACACTGCTGAGGGGAGCAGCGGGCGGCAGGAGAGGTCTGCGCGCCATGTGGGACCCTCCTCCGGTGGCCGGGGAGCAGCCGGGGATCGAATCAGCACTGCAGAGGCTGCGGGCAGCTTCGCAACCCAGTGCTCAACCGCTGCACCACCGGGGAGGCCATCAAAATTTTTTTAATATAATATTGTGGTGTTGTTTTTTTAAAAAAAGATTTTAGTTATTTATACAAGAACTGGGGTACAGGAGGCGTGGGAGGGGTGAGAGAAAGGGGAGAAAGGAGAGGTCTGCTGCACCATGTGGGTTAACTCCCTGGCCGGGGATCAAACTCAGGCCTCAGTGGCTGGCCATCAGTGCTGAGACTTTAATCCCTGGGCCACCAGGGAGGCCCATGATTTGCAGACAAAACGTCTCCCATCCTGTAGGCTATCTTTTCTCATCCTCATGATGTCCTGGCATGCACAAAGATTTTTAAAATTGTTATCAAGGGCCTCCCCGGTGGCGCAGCGGTTGAGCGCTGGGTTGCGAAGCTGCCCGCAGCCTCTGCAGCACCGGTTCAATCCCCGGCTGCTCCCCGGCCACCAGAGGAGGGTCCCACATGGTGCGCAGACCTCTCCTGCCACCTGCTGCTCCCCTCAGCAGTGTCCTTCGCTCCTTCTGCCTGCTCTGCTCCCCGCTCTGGCTCTGGTGGATTCTCTCACCCTCCCACACTTCTGACTGTACCCAGTGCATGTATAAACAAAAAACAAACAAACAAACAAACAAACAAACAAATAAATAAAACATGCCTCTATAAAAAAAAATAAATAAATAAAAT